TTACATTTTTAATATTGTTTAAATTGGTGGACTAGATAGGTTTTAAAGTTGCATGAATTTGTTTGATGACTATAGGTGCCTTGCACCATAGAGCTAAAATTTATTCGCAATGCGCGTCCCTATAGGCCAGAGCGTGTTGGAAATTTAATCTTTTATTTGATATTGGTAAACGTTTCGTCACGAACATTATTAAGAAAGGCAAGATGCGAAATCTAAGTTGTTACAAATATTATAGTTTACAGATTGCAAAATTTTATTCTATTTGAGGTGAAAAATCGTCTTTGACTTGTCGTAGACCAGGTAAGTTATTGCTGCTGAAGGCACAACCTGGAGAATATCAACAATTGAACAGTATGAATAGCGAAGCCACAGACAAGTCGTGAAACTTTTAAAAGATTCGGAAATTACCTTTGTCAAAGCTGGTACAAGACCTTTGTAAAATCCTCGAATACCTTCTGCAGCATATGTTTTTCTGATAACATCAGTTGTACTAGCATACGTCTGAGGGTGTCCGACGGTTCCTTGTGCTTGCAACCTTCAATGGGCAAAAGATAAAAGTTTTAGTAACCATGATCCAGAATCATAAAATATTCAGCTCGTTACATTCTTATAATTCACGACGTCATACCGTGTCCTCACAAGCGCAAGGGGATAAACCATAATGGCCCCAATAGAACCCGACATCATTCCACACCCAAGTGAGACGAACGCACTCGCCGGACGCAAAGGCTTTAGCGGGTCTTGTAGCTCCTCACCATGTTGCCATTTAACATACCCCATTTTCAATGTCTCGTACACGCTCATATCAATTGCAGCATATGGAAATACTCCAACCAAAGCAGGAACAATACCCTTATAAAACGCTCGGATTCCTTGCTTATTCCACATCCCCTGCGCGGTGGTAAGCAATACACCCTCATTGGATGAGGCCGAAGCAGAGGAAACACCAGCGGAGCTCATAATACGCGTTTTGAGGGTTTCCAAAGGGTATATGCTGAACTGAGATATAATACCAGCCAATCCGCCCGATAAGAATCGCCCACTCATTCCGATTGATTCCTTGTCTTTTTTACCCAACATTGTAGCGACTCCAGCTTTTATTCTTTCGTAGGAAAAGAATTTGATTGCGCTCTCTGGAGCAATTTTAACTACATTCAGCCCATTACCGCAAAAGAAATTTAAAATCCCGCCAGACCTAAACAAATTCTTTGCTGATTCCAAGACTGCGCTATGCGCTCGAGAGCGGCTCGGCAGTGTGTGATACTGTGTTTGGAGGTAGACCTTCAGTCGATCAAAAGGCGCGGTAGCCGTTCGACTGACTGTACCAGCAATTGCACCAGCAAGAATATAACGTGGATCCGTTGCTGTTATTATTACGTCGCCGTCCATATTCAGCTTAGCAAAGGCTTGATAGTAGGTGTAGATTTCTCGAAGAGTAGTTTCGCGAGGGAGAAGCTGATTAAAAGAAAAAATTAATTTCAATCATTAAAATAATAAATCGTTGATAAACTGGTTTGACCAAGAATGCTGATAGCAACATACTAGGAGAAAATCCCGCCACTCGTTAAAGTCAATTACACCGTTTCCATCTTTATCAAGAGCTTCCATAAATTTTCGAAGCTCTTGTTTTGTGCAATGTATTCCTGGTAGGGTTGATGTCGTGACCAGTGATGGCGAAACGTAAGCAATCATACGTTGTACACATATTCTCAAGCACCCATCTCCAATATATATCCAATACTGACACTTACCTGCCTTTGCCAGTGCCTGCTCAATTTCTTCGGGTTGCAACTTCATATCATTACTCTTATCGATTTGTCTGAATACTTCCCACAATTCCTTCTCCTTCTCTTCCACATAAGCTTTAAACTCGTCAAAATCAACAACATCATCATCATCACTCATCTTTTCCAGTAACTCCAAAGCATACTTGTTTCGTGCAGGTAAATGCTTGAGTCTCTCAAAAGTCGTTTGTATGTTATGCTTATCGATGAATCCCGTTTTATCTTTGTCTAGCTCATCAAATAAGCGACGAATGCGGAGATTACGTTCTGTCTCGTTTTCAGGGAAAACCTGAGGTTGGGCTTGGGGGAGATCGTTGCCATCGCTGGCATTCGAATTAACAAAGGATTTGGAAATTTTGTCAGGGTTCTGGCGGGTAGATGGTTGGTTTGTTGTGGTTGGAGTTAGGGTAATTCCTTTCGCCATTCCGAATGGAGCAAGGCTATTTGGATTGTGGTTTCAAAAGCAAGTACGGAAATCATCAAGTTGCTTTTCACTCGAGCTGTTGAAACAAGTCTTCTGATCATAGTGAAGTAGTAATGTGTGCAACATGTCAACTGGTCACAGATAAACTTCCATGAATGCAGGCTATACATATATAGCATGAGGCTAAAAATGTGACGATCGTTTCTTTTTCAAAATGGGGTGAAGATCGAGTGTATAATTAATATTCATATTAATCTTAATTAATTACAGAATCTCTTAATCTTTGAAGTGTTAGATCAGTGGATAAAAGAGTTGGCAATCAATTATTTAGAGGGTTGAGCGTATACATTACTGATATTGGAATTCGTCTACAAGTATCAATCAAGCTTCAAGGCTACGTTCAGGAATCACATGGCCGGAAGACGCGATAGTTACTGTATACAGCCGAATGTTGAATTTACTTTCTTTACACACTCAAGAAAGAAAAATCAATTGCCAATCATTATTTAGGAAATAATTGGAATTTGTAAACTCACCGTAATTGGTCTTTAAAGCTCATCCGTTCGTTTAACGCAACTATGATGCTTTCAACCGAAGCATTGTTTTAATATCAACAACTTCAGACAATTGAAAAGCGTATTTAAATAAACCGCAAACGCGCATTCAAGTTTCAGATTTGAACTCTGTTATCCGAGCATCTAAACGAAAATTAGCTCAATCATTTCTTCTTTAACAAAGAATAAACTATCGATCAATGGACATCAATACGTTACTTGAATTACTCTAGCCACAAATCTTAAGACATATACTTTTAAAATAAGATTATCCCTTTTTCTTGTAAATAAAGTTTCGCATATGTCCTAGTCCTTGGCTGCCAGATAGGATCGTCATAAAAAGACACCAAAAATATTATGCATTATATCCTATCAAAGCTCAGAGCTGGAAATATAATTGTTACATCTGTTATAGTACTGCAATCTTGACGTGATGAGTGGGTGACAACGTCTACGGATGGCCAAGAACAGCATAAACATAGGTTGGTGAACGTTGAGTTAATATTTTGAAGTCGACTAAAGCTCTTATAACTCTTGTACGATAAGAACGACTGTGCTCTTCCAAAATAACAAAAATCCAAACTTTTAAAGTTTGTAATTTGGTTGATGCGTTGGTTTCTTTTTTCTCCTTTTTTTTTTAGCTCGATGCTTTAATCTTGACGCGTTCAGGCTTGCTTTGAGCTCGATGCAATCGGGCTTGCTTTATACTTGTTGTTTGTTGAGCTGAGACTCCCATTTTTTCCTGTAGACCGGCAATGTTAAAATTTGTCTATGAACGCTGAGTATATGAGAGAATAGTGGTTATTGAGCATACATGCATCGGCACAGTTAGAAGCGGACAAAGCGGCTATTTTGTATTTAGTAATTAAACTATTCACATTTATTACTACAGGTGCCTAGGAGACACTTGTTCTATGGATTTAAGTAGTAAGTAATGTAATAAGTATTTATTATCATTATATCGGCGAGTATTCCACGAGCGATAGCGGGTGTATTTACGCATGCCTGAGTACGGGAGTATTATCACACATTATTGGTTTCAATCTAGCAAATTTCCCGACACATCAATTGGTTACGATAAGCGAGGATGTAATAACTATAACAAGACAACCAGTTTTCTGTGCCGGGCACAACAGAAAACAGGAAAACGTTACAAATATACCAAAATGGACCTTTTTGGCAAATCAAAGTTTAGTTTAAATGTGTTAAATTCTGCACCATGGACAAATTATCATGGTTGGTAATACCGACTCTTGTGTTTTATGTCTCTAGTCAAGTGGACTTCTAATAGTACTTAGTAATCTATAAGAACTAAAAGACAACGAGACTTTATACGAAATATTTACCTACAAGCGTTTTGATCTATATTGTACATTCAATGAAGCCCTATTTAAGTACGTATTTCACTCTTCTTGTTTATCTAACTTTTCATAATAGCTAAAGGCTCTTTTCTTCTACTTACCTCATACTAGTCGTTTATGTCAAGACACTGGTCGTCGCCATGTTTTTTAAAACCGCTTTGTCGGTAGTTAGGAGGCATGCGCTTGGTTATTGGTGTTGGTAATATGCCGAGTAGACTTAGCGCGCGTTGGTGAGAATAATAACGAAGCAAAGGTATTCCGAGTATAGAACGAAATTATAGTAAAGGGAAAACTTTTCGAAATCGAGGCGGTACAAACATTCCTAGTGTACACACACAAATATGCTTCTTCATTATTAACGAGTACCGCACCGAGTAGAATGATAATGCGATAAAAGAAGTTCGGGGGAAATCGTATTATACGCACGTTTATTAACTTATTCAGATATTCGACGTCTTTTCAAATATCTTCTCGTCTTCGGTAAAATAAATATTCCGACATAAAATAACTCTAAAAAAAATTATTATATCTATTTATATTACTTAGGAATTACATACGAGCCCCTTGTGCGAACTCTTTCGTCGGCTGTGGTCGATAAACCGAGTCGTCGTTTCAAAGACTTGTGAGTGAGTTGTAGCAAAGTGTCGTATGTGCGTAATAGCAGTAAAGGTTTGTTGCGTTGTCTATTGACTTTTCGATGACCTTATTAATTCGATTGTTCTAGATAATATTTTTTTTAAAAAAAAAGGTAAGAAACGAATTTCCTAACAAGGGAGTGAGTGAACGAATCATGTTTAAAGGACGTACGGGGGCTACCCAAAGAACTATACTTCAATGAATAAGCCCAAACGGGAACATGTCAAACTATCCTTGGATGAGTGCGTCTGTACGATGTTTAAAGGACATGCCAGACATCTATGAATGGGAGTGAGTTTGAACAAACCACGTTATAGGGCGCATCAACCCAAAGAATTATACTTCAATGAATAACCCCCGGCCCCAAACGGAACATGTCAAACCATCCACATGCCTTGTTTTCTCCATGAGCGTCTTGTCTTTTCCCCGATCGCGGAAAAAGTAGCGTTTGGATATATATGAGTATCGATTACGTGGTCGATAAACTGAGCCGTCGTTTCAAAGACTTGTTCGAGAGTTGTAGCAACCGTCGTATGTGCGCAATATGGAGTGGCGGCAAAGTCTTGTTGCGTTCGACTTTCAGATAACGTTAATTCGGTTGTTCTAGATAATATGTAAAAAAAAAAAAAAGTAAGAAACGAATTTCTTAACAAGGGAGCTGAGTGAACGAATCATGTTTAAAGGACGTACGGGGGCTACCAAAGAACTATACTTCAATGAATAAGCCCAAACGGGAACATGTCAAACTATCCTTGAATAAGTGCGTCTGTACGATGTTTAAAGGACATGCCAGACATCTATGGATTGGAGTGAGTTTGAACGAACCACGTTTATAGGGCGCATCAACCCAAAGAATTATACTTCAATGAATAACCCCCAGCCCCAAACGGAACATGTCAAACCATCCACATGCCTTGTTTTCTCCATGAGCGTCTTGTCTTTTTCTCGATCTTGATAAACGGTGTCATTTTGAATACATGTTTGTGAAGCGTCGTATGTGCGTAATAGCAGTAAAGGTTTGTTGCGTTGTATATTGACTTTTCGATAACGTTGTATTTGCGCTTTGGAGGAGAAGATGTTGTTGTGAGTGCAATGGAGAGGAGTGTCGGAGGAGTGTCCGGGTATATATATATATATATGTATGAATAGACGCGTGTTTGCGTGTTAATGATATAGGTGTACTACTTGATATTGTTGTTGTCGTGCGCGACCTTATAAGTATAAATGTTACAGTCGTACCCCTCTATAGTCACCCCCTCTATAGTCACCCCCTCTATAAGCACACATATAAAAAACCTCTTTATAAGCACACTTCCAGCAAAAGTTGCATTGTTCCCGACAGCGTGACTATAGAGGGGTACGGTAAGGAGTGTGAAAGTCAGCCAAAACGATCACTGTCAACCAATAGTAAACATAAGCAGTATCGATATATTGCTTAGTGTAACACATCATTACATCAGTTACACTGATTACTATTGTTCTTATTTACGGAAACAGTCACGCATATAAATGATAACAACGTGCGTCTATGCAATAAGGAGCGTGCAACTGTCAACCAATAGTAAAGGCATAAACGGATATTGCATTTTATTAGTCCCGTGATCTTATTATTACTATTACCGACCGTAAATAAGAACAATAGTATCAGTGTAACGTTTGGGATCACATGCAGTAAAATATTTTTCACTGGTTAGCAAGTTCGATAAGTCACGCAATTAAACTGATCTCTATGATAGTACTGACATGCATCACTGATACAATTGTCTAACTAACAGTTTTTTTACGTACTATATTTATAAATACAGTAAACTCTCTCTAAATGCAAAGAAAGTGCTCAGAGCAAGGGCGGGGGCAGGGGTCGCCCCATTTCGCACGCGAAAAGGGTGTCACACACGTCGGGACGGGGCCTAACGGCCCCTCCCGACCCATGATGGGACTTAAGAGATAAGTGCACGATCTATATTCTGCAATATGAGTGTTTCTCTAAATGCAATATCATGTGATCTACAAAAAGTCACGTAACAAAGTCCACGATACCTTTGCTGTTACATGATCGTATTAAGGGGTTGAACTGCCTGTCATACATCTGTACACGTATTTTGGCTGGGTTATGGAACCATGTTAATGTTGATATGATAAAGATAAAGCTTTTTCACATTTTTACATATCTAATAAAAAAAGAAAGACTCTATTAATACGATCGTGGATTAGTACGGTTGTAAAACGACTTGAGAATGCTTCTCGCAAGCAAACAAATATTACGAGCTTTCTACAATAATAATAATAATATATATGATGGTTCCAATAAACTCTCTTTTATTGATACTTAATTGTTTTATTGTTACTAGTTCAACAATATATTGCAAAATCTACAGTTGTTTTTTGATAACCACCATCACACTTGAATAGACATCTTTCTCTCAGCTTGGATATTCATTTCGATAACGCT